GCCCTCCTTGAGGCTTGGGGCATCAAGCACACATTCTCTTCCGTTGCCTACCCTCAGGGCAACGGACAAGTAGAAAATGCCAACCGCACTCTCCTCGAAGGGTTGAAGAAGAAGCTGGAAGCCGAAGGGGGAGGCTGGGTAGAAGAGCTTCACAACATCTTATGGGCCTATCGCACCACCCCTCGGCGCGCAACAGGCGAAACACCCTTCTCCTTATGCTATGGCTTTGAGGCTAAGGCTCCAACAGAAGTGACCCTTCCGACCCGAAGGGTGGAACAATATGTTCCTGAGGTCAACGACGCCAACATGGCCCTGGACCTTCATCTCATCTCGGAACGCCGAGAGCAAGCTTTCCTCAGGGCCGAAAACTATAGAAGACAGGTCAAGGGCTACATCGACGCCAAGGTCCGCTCCCGGGAATTCCAGGTGGGAGACTACGTCCTCCGACGAAGGGAGGCCAGTCTACCCACCGAAGGAGGAAAGATGGCGCCTAAGTTTGAAGGCCCCTACATCATCTCAGCCATCATCAAACCAGGGACATACAAGCTTAAACGTCCCAATGGGACGGAGGTCCCTAGACATTGGAATGTGCACCACCTTGTCAAATTCTATCAATAAGGCATGAGCGGCCAAGCCCTCGTCCTCAGCAAGTGTAAATATCAATGGCCCAAGGCCCCATCTGTTTTTGAAGAAAAATCAAAAGGCCAAGCCTTCATTACCGACATATTGTACAAACGGCCCAAGGCCCCCTTCTCTCCTACACATGAGTGGCCAAGCCCCCATCTCTCTACCAAAATAGGCCCAAGGCCTCTCCCTCTGATGAGGGGGAACAACAATTTAGGTAACAAGTACCAAGGGTGGGTCACCCCCATCACTCTTTAAAAACACCGAGTGTTTTCTCAAACTTTTACATACTCTCTCTCTCCAAAAAAAAAAAAAAAAAAAAAACCGGGGGGTGCAACACCCCTCGGCTCCGGCTGGTACCAAGTGCCCCCGGCTGTTTGTGTTCCACACACAAATAAAACCCTTCCCAGGAACGCTTTCCGCGCCATCCCCCAAGGGGAGGCAGGCAACGGACCACGTCCCGGGCCCAAGATTCGACTTCCACAAACGAAACGCTCCCCGCGCTATCCCCCAAGGGGAAGCAGGCAACAGACCATGTCTCGGGCCGAGGGGACGACTTTCAAAACCGAGGCGCTTTCCGTGCTATCTCCCAAGGGGAAGCAGGCAACAGACGATGTCTCGGGTCGAGGAAACGACCCTCAAACCCTTCGGGATAGCGGAAGGTCATTCCCGAAGGGGGAGCCAACGGTTTGTTCCGTTGCCTCCCATATAGGCCAAGCCTTCCCTAGAAACCAAGTTTCTGGATGCCTCTTGTCACGCCCCAGACCGCAATCCAGGCGCGTGTACAACCGCCGTATAACTAAGTGACGTCACCCACGGGTCAACCTCACTTAATTACACAAGGCGTTCGAGAAAACAATCCATCCATACTCAGTAGTAAACATACATGACAACATCACATTAAACCAATGAATAGCGGAAATATTCAACGGTAAATCATGGGCCACAACCGGCCGACAACATGGGCATGCAAGCCCCAAAAATAGTTTATAGTAAAACAAATATCCATGAGCAAGTGTTCGGTAGTTTGAAAGAAAATAAGGAAGCACGAACCACGTCTCCCTAATTTGATATCACCCGTGAGAAGGTGCAAGTAGCAAGCTCTAGCTTCAACCTGAAAATGGTGGGGCCCCCCGAAGGGGTCAGTACAAGTACCGAGCGAGTAGCAGGCTAAATATAGAATAACTAGCGTTTCAAGTATAAGACCCAAACATAGGGTGATACTTAAATAGTTAGTCTTTCCCCCGAGTTATGAAATACTTATTAGTATATATATACTTGGAAAATATCCGATCCGTAGATCACCATTTCATTTGGGAAAAATAGTATTAGTCAATATTCTTGACTAAAAACCCCAACCCACCCATATACCTATGAGTGTATAGGACTCCTCCTTGTCCCTATTTGTATATCATAATTTATGAGTTTTAGGATCAAAATCCTCGGATACTCCACCGGTTTGTGAGTGTTAAGGCCTCATAAGTCCTAGGGTCCTCCACCGGGTTTTGAGTGTTAAGTACTTTAAGTACTAGGGTCCTCCACCAAGTTTGAGTGTTAAGGACTTTAAGTCCTAGGGTCCTCCACCAAGTTTTTGAGTGTTAAGTACTTTTTAAGTACTAGGGTCCTCCACCGAGTTTGAGTGTTAAGGACTTTAAGTCCTAGGGTCCTCCACCAAATTTGAGTGTTAAGGACTTTAAGTCCTAGGGTCCTCCACCAAGTTTGAGTGTTAAGGACTTTAAGTCCTAGGGTCCTCCACCAAGTTTGAGTGTTAAGTACTTTTTAAGTACTAGGGTCCTCCACCAAGTTTTCCTAGGATCAACCTCCTATCAACCTAGATAGAGTCTATATCATCCTTAGTTACTCATAACTAATCCAATACATAAATCTTATGTATCACAATCCATGCAAAGCCATGCATTTATATAAATGTATAATTAACTAACATCAACCGATATTAATTAATCCATCATCCATCGGTCAACGTTGTCGTTGACCGCCAATTGAAGCCTTGTACATATCAACTTAATCATCATATAATTAAGTCAATAATACTCATTTGATCTTCTTTTACACTTCAAGCTAATGTGCATTTTATATAATTTCTCATATCATATTTCATGCATAATCAATTAATTCTTCTCATACAACTTGATAATGTTGGCTAATCACATGTTTAAATATCTTTTAAACATCATTTTGAACACATATAACATTTATTTAGGTAATCTCATAATTAACCCAAAAGTTATAAGATATTAAGCCGTCCACTCACCTTGAACTAGCGTTAAGAAGTTCTACCCTTCTTGGTTGAACTCCGGTGAAACTCCGGCGACTTTTGGTCAACTCCGGCGAAAACTCTGGCGACTTTTCCAACTTTGTGAAATCACTTGAGATACCCTTTACAAGTGCCTAACAAGGTTTTAACATCATAAAACCTTAATCAATACAAATAACCTATAAAAGGTTATTTTCCGGTGAACCGGTCGTTTTGGCTTCTAAGTCCGTTCTTGGACATAGAATCACTTTCCAACTCATTAATCCATACTTATAGCATGTAGAACCCTATTAAGGGTTCTTCACATGATATATATCTCATATGGTAGAAGAAGAATAGAGAGGAAGTTATAATAGGGTCATTACCTTAACTATTTCACACCTTTAGCACTTTAGCTTCTTTTTTGGGTGGTTCTTCCTTGGTGAGCTCTCTTCAACAATGGTGGAAGGAAGAAGGAGAGTTCCTTGCCCTTGGTTGCTGTAGCTTGGCCGAGACAATGAGGGGAGAGAGGGGTGGAGATGAGCTTTTGTCTCATTAATCCAATGAGTGTAGAATGAGGGTCCACTTTAGGTACCTTTGATGCCATTTCCCTCATATCACAATCCCCTCCCCCTATTTCCTATCCCACCAGCCGGCCAACACCCCACTTGAGTGTCCAAATTCGTGGGTTGGCCCCCACTCATGTGGGAGGTCAACCCTTTTTGTCCCGAAGTGTACAATCGGTCCCGAAAGTTGTATTTTTCGGACTGTTTTAAATATATTTTATTTTATCAGGTCAAATAAAATATATTATGTGCTCTTACTCATTATGACATGTATAATGAATATACATTCCCCAACTTTAATTTATAAGCCTCTAAAATTCATTTCCGGGCTGTTATCTGTTAAATTGTCGGTACCGGTAATTGGGCCCCTTTTTCCCAATCGGTCAACTCTGCGCCTTTCCACGACCCAAATAAAATATCCACCACTATATAAATATTATCTTGACCAAGATGAATAAAATATGTGGTCTCGGGAGTATCGGGCGGCCCCCGCTCCCGGTGTGGGTCCCACGTGCAATTTACTATTCACGCGAAAGAAATAATAAAAATTTACAACTTCGTAAATTCATTAATCCTTTAATAAGGTTCAATACATTATTTACATAAAAGTAAATATATTTGGGGACGGTGTTACACCTCTCCTACACCATCTAAAAAAAAAAAAAAAAAGAGATGTGTAGGGGGGAAGGAACTCCCCGGATACTATTCTCCCCGGAGGCTCAGCACTTCGGATATATATTACCGAAGGCCCCTACTGTGACACCCCGGAAAATTTAATAAAAAGATTTAATATTAACTAAACATGTGATACCACACAATTGTAGTTGGGATATTTTTCTTAGCTTATGCTTCGGGACGAAGCATCTTTTAAGGAGAGTAGACTGTGACAACCCGAAAATTTAAAAAAATAAATAAATTTATTAGTCAGATAAAATGTTACGAAAGTCAATAAAAATGTTTCAATAATAAAAGTGACATTTTTATAATAGATGTGTTGACTAGGTAGGACTTTGACTTAAAACATTAAAGTGACATTTTAAAAAAAATTATTTTAAAAGTATCGGTTATATAAAGTATACACTAAAAACCAATTTTATCGATAATAATAACAATTATAGAAGTGTTGACCTTCCCAACCTAAAATGTTCACACGTATTAATAAATCCAAGCATGCAGTATAGTTTCACTACATAAACATGTACACATTTATATTTTCAAAAGTCACAAAGCATAAACCATGCGGCCATGCCCAAGTCAGTATAAGAAACGAAGGGTGCTTATTCCACGCACATGTTCACCGGTCGGAACCGATCTAATAAGGCCAATATACTCTGTAGTTCGCAATACATAGGCACATGTATTTGCAGTACTCTGCGTGGAAGGTACGAATAAGGACCATATACATGCATGCGATCCAGAAGGGCGACCCACTCATATGCTAATCCTCATGATGCCAAGAAAACGAACTACGTGTATCTCTCTGCACCAAGAGGACTTCAGTGACTGCACATTTATATATACGTACATACTAACCTTGCGAAACCATAACTAGAGAACAACTTCACACACCCGCACATTTCTCTGCGACCTGTTATCTGAGTTGTGAGTAAAAGAGAGTCATAATAAGCGGATCAACTCCTGAGAAGCTAGAGAAGGAGTATGCCGGAGTGTTGTAACTAGAATAGCCGGACTGGTTCTCTATGCCGGATGATGCAAGATTGTTGGGGACTGCCCTGACTCCAGATGGCCGGCTATTTACGAACAAGACAGAATGAAAACTCAGTGCGCCGGAGAAACCTGATGACAGCAACCCCGACCGCCGGAGAAGAAGAGCCTTTCGCCATGCCGCCAATCGCCTGAGGGTCTGCCGCCGTGTATTGCCGGAGGGGGAAAACCGTCTGGGCTAGCTTCCGTCACCGAGGAGAGTGCCGCCGATCTCCCTGCGTCGCCAGAACTGTTTTACGAAGAAGACGGCGACTCCCTGCATAGGTAATTCATACACTACGTATTATGATGATTAGGCCGGAAACTTATTTTAAAATGGGCTGGTTTAGTGATGAAGGATAATGGAAGTACTGATGAGTTAATAACAAGGCCGAAGAACTAATATATTATGATATATGTTGGCCGCTAGGTATTACTCCGTAGTAATTAATAACAATAATAATACACTGGGCTGGAAATACTATTATAACTGCATTGCTTCTAATATAGTTACGGACTGTTTAGACTGGTTCGAATATATGGACTGGCCGAAATTAACAGTAATTGGGATGATTATAGTAATGATGATAATACTAAATATAATTCTGATAATGTTAGAAATAATAATAATAATAATAAGAGTTCTGTTAAGTTATAAATTGATGATATTCACTTTTAAAGAACCTGTCACTTTTAAATCGGGATAATCAAATGGAGTAAGAAGATTATTATGGAAATAAATGAATAATCATAGAAGGATTAAAATCTAAAACTGGATAATAATTAGCAAGGTGGGATAGTTACTAATTAAAGAATGTTAATATTCTTAGAAGGTGATTTTTGTGAAGATTGAGGTAGAAGCTTCGTTTAGGATTTACCGCAATTTGAGGTAAGTACTATGTCAACCAAATTTCATGCTTTTCCCATATAAATATATTTGTGACTAGTTATTTGAGATCATTTGAGTATATGATAGCTAATGAGATTTTACGTATCAATTGTGATTGTGAATTATATATATTTGAGATTTGAGTATTTTATATTGGGTGATATTTTGAGCATTTGAATTTACATATGAATTGTTATTTGGTTGAGATTTGAGATTTGAGCTATTTATGAAGTATCCTATATTTTGGACTATTTATGGTATATTTGAGTATGATGAGTTGGAGTTAATAAATTTTATTATGAATAATTTTGTGGAATTCGGATTTCATATCCATTTTGATTGAGGTTATGATACTTGAACTTTGAGGTTGAATTACGATTTTGTGAGTACCCGGAGAAATGTGGATTTGGTGAGTGGTAATGACTATAAGTCTAATTCCACCAGGGATCTCCCAAAAGCGGAGTATCCCAGCTTAATTGTAGTAGTCGGTAGAAAAATCCCGACTACTCGGACTTTTTACTACCCGGAGAGCTTGGAATCTCTTTTAGGGGGTGTGCACACTTAAGGTAGGAGTTCGGCTTCCATTGAATTTGGTTGAGTTTGAATGATTGAACTTGAGATGATTTGGATTATTTGGTTGGACTTGATGGAGATGAATTGAACTACATTATATTGGATTATTTGAGTGGGTTATATTTGTTTGGATTGGATTGAATTTGATGTGGTTGAGATTATTAAATTATCGGTAGATTTTCAAAGTAATACTTTTTTTGATTTGATATGGTTATGTTGAATATTGATTATGAGTATTTGGAAGTATTTTGAGATGAATATTTGGGCTTTACATATGAATTATGTTTTGGAATATAATTACGAGGATTTTGGTGGTTTATGTATATTGACCTTTTAAAATTATTATGATTTGGAAATATGTACCTATATTTGGAATATTATTATTTTACATGTGATTTTGTGATGAGAAGTTTGTATAAAATGTTTCATGAGGTTTCCTCCCAAATGTTTTCACAAAATGATATATATGTATCAAACATGATTATTTTACAGGGTTGGGTGGGCCTTACTTAGCATTTCCAGCTAATTTTTGTTTCTTTGTGTTTTTCTTTCTGTACTTAATTTGTGCAGGAATTGAGGATCATATTGAAGTTGATTTCGAGAGCTTCCGCTAGAACACATAGACTAAAGTGATTGAGTAATTTATTTTAGTCTTAATTTTAAAGAATTGTAGTTGAACAATTAAATATGGAAAATTTTAATTTGTTGGTGGTGGATAGCCTGTGCACTCGGTTATGTGAGAACCGAGTGTGGCGGTAACGCCCCTATTTCCCTTTGAATTTTCCGCTGCATAATTCTGATAAATCATTATTTAAATGTATTTTTGGGTGGGAAATTTGGGGGGTGTTACAAATTGGTATCAGAGCCTTTTCTTTTCTAAAATGGGGTTTTCAAACATTTTTTCAGATTTTTTTTCTCTATTAAGTGATACCAACAAGTTGGTATCAGAGCCTTTGATTTTTTAAATGGGGGTTTTCAAATAAAAGTTTTTCCTAAAGTGACTATGGTTTAAAAAAAAAATAGTTTCGAACATTTTTTTTGACTTTCTAAAACTTCAATGAGTAATACCAACAAGTTGATATGAGAGACTTTGATTTTCTAAAATGGGGTTTTTAAACAATTTCTGAGATTTTCTTAAACTCCCTTAAGTGTATCAAAGCCTTAATATTTTCCAAGGGGATTTTTGTAAAATGCTTTTCTGAAATACTAAGAAATTAATTTACTAGGGAATAAGTAAGAACTTCTAGGACCGCGGTGAGAATGTGAGATTTTGAATTTCTATTTTGGTGGAGTTTGTGGTTCTTTGAATTGTTTGAGTTATACTTATATGAGATATACTTACCAAATTATGTGAATAGTGAGTTATTAGGTAAGGTAGTGTAATTGTGAATATCATTCGATATACTTCGTGTCGTAAACATTATTCTTTCAAGTAGACAATGAAGTCAACAAGAAACAAAGTAGAAGACAATGTCGTCGCACCAACAAATGCGGAGTTGGCTCAAAATATGGTTCAATTCATCCAGACCATCGGGAGTGTGCTAATTCAGAACCAACACCAACAACGTCTCAAAAACCGCAATGATGTAGCGAAACTTGTAGCGAAGCGCAATCCACCGTGTTATCTAGGCCAAGAAGATCCTCTCATCCTTGAAGATTGGATTCGCACTTTCGACAAACTTTTCGACGCTATAAACTGCCCTGCAGATCAACGAATTAATACGGCTGCGTACTATCTACGTCAAGAGGCGGACAATTGGTGGGCCACGACTGCCCCAACGTTGCGTCAACAACCTAACTTTTCTTGGGAGACGTTCAAGGAGGCAATGCGAAAAAGATTCTGCCCAGAGCACGTGAGAGCTGAGAAGTATGAAGAATTTTTACACCTGAAGCAAATAGGCATGACTGTCCAAGAGTATCACGCTAAATTCTTGAATCTCGCACGATTTGCACCCACGCTAGTTTCCGATGAAATCGAGAAAACTAACAAGTTTATACGTGGTCTAAACTTTGAGACACAAAAAGCTCTTTGTGTTTCAGAATGCCAAACGTTGAACGATGCCTACAACAAAGCTGGCAAACACTATCGAGTGCAACAACTCCAGGAGAAAACACTCAAGAGAGAAAGGAAGGGCACCGAAGAAGAAAACAGACAGGGAGGCAAACGGCACACGCTAGATAATGCAGGGGAGACCCGAAACGGGAACAAGATCAACAACCAAGGCCAAGGCCAGAAGCGTAAGAAGAAGAACTCAACTAAAGACATGCACTTCTACTGCTCGAAATGTGGAAAAGATCACCCCGGGAAATACTGTGACGGAACACTCGTACGATGTTTTCATTGTGACAAGCTTGGACATAGGGTGTTCGAGTGTCATTCAAGGAAGAAGGGAATCCCTCCAACTCGTGGACTCAATCATCATGGAAAGAATGCAAAACACAATGGAAGAATCCGAAAATAGTAGGCAAAATCATATAAAATTTCTAATTTTCAATATTAATACATATGTTTGATGATTGTGTTTCAATTTGATCTTGAATGAATAATCTATTCTCTTAAGTAAATTAAGTGCTTCGGGGACGAAGCACTCTTTTAAGGAGGGTAGAATGTGACACTCCTTAAATTTAAAAAAAAAACAAATTTAATATTAACTAAGATGTAATATCTGCTAATTGTACATGTGGATATTTTCTTAACTTATGCTTCGGGACGAAGCATCTTTTAAGGTGGGTAGAATGTGACACCCCGGAAAATTTAATAAAAAGATTTAATATTAACTAAACATGTGATACCACACAATTGTAGTTGGGATATTTTTCTTAGCTTATGCTTCGGGACGAAGCATCTTTTAAGGAGAGTAGACTGTGACAACCCGAAAATTTAAAAAAATAAATAAATTTATTAGTCAGATAAAATGTTACGAAAGTCAATAAAAATGTTTCAATAATAAAAGTGACATTTTTATAATAGATGTGTTGACTAGGTAGGACTTTGACTTAAAACATTAAAGTGACATTTTAAAAAAAATTATTTTAAAAGTATCGGTTATATAAAGTATACACTAAAAACCAATTTTATCGATAATAATAACAATTATAGAAGTGTTGACCTTCCCAACCTAAAATGTTCACACGTATTAATAAATCCAAGCATGCAGTATAGTTTCACTACATAAACATGTACACATTTATATTTTCAAAAGTCACAAAGCATAAACCATGCGGCCATGCCCAAGTCAGTATAAGAAACGAAGGGTGCTTATTCCACGCACATGTTCACCGGTCGGAACCGATCTAATAAGGCCAATATACTCTGTAGTTCGCAATACATAGGCACATGTATTTGCAGTACTCTGCGTGGAAGGTACGAATAAGGACCATATACATGCATGCGATCCAGAAGGGCGACCCACTCATATGCTAATCCTCATGATGCCAAGAAAACGAACTACGTGTATCTCTCTGCACCAAGAGGACTTCAGTGACTGCACATTTATATATACGTACATACTAACCTTGCGAAACCATAACTAGAGAACAACTTCACACACCCGCACATTTCTCTGCGACCTGTTATCTGAGTTGTGAGTAAAAGAGAGTCATAATAAGCGGATCAACTCCTGAGAAGCTAGAGAAGGAGTATGCCGGAGTGTTGTAACTAGAATAGCCGGACTGGTTCTCTATGCCGGATGATGCAAGATTGTTGGGGACTGCCCTGACTCCAGATGGCCGGCTATTTACGAACAAGACAGAATGAAAACTCAGTGCGCCGGAGAAACCTGATGACAGCAACCCCGACCGCCGGAGAAGAAGAGCCTTTCGCCATGCCGCCAATCGCCTGAGGGTCTGCCGCCGTGTATTGCCGGAGGGGGAAAACCGTCTGGGCTAGCTTCCGTCACCGAGGAGAGTGCCGCCGATCTCCCTGCGTCGCCAGAACTGTTTTACGAAGAAGACGGCGACTCCCTGCATAGGTAATTCATACACTACGTATTATGATGATTAGGCCGGAAACTTATTTTAAAATGGGCTGGTTTAGTGATGAAGGATAATGGAAGTACTGATGAGTTAATAACAAGGCCGAAGAACTAATATATTATGATATATGTTGGCCGCTAGGTATTACTCCGTAGTAATTAATAACAATAATAATACACTGGGCTGGAAATACTATTATAACTGCATTGCTTCTAATATAGTTACGGACTGTTTAGACTGGTTCGAATATATGGACTGGCCGAAATTAACAGTAATTGGGATGATTATAGTAATGATGATAATACTAAATATAATTCTGATAATGTTAGAAATAATAATAATAATAATAAGAGTTCTGTTAAGTTATAAATTGATGATATTCACTTTTAAAGAACCTGTCACTTTTAAATCGGGATAATCAAATGGAGTAAGAAGATTATTATGGAAATAAATGAATAATCATAGAAGGATTAAAATCTAAAACTGGATAATAATTAGCAAGGTGGGATAGTTACTAATTAAAGAATGTTAATATTCTTAGAAGGTGATTTTTGTGAAGATTGAGGTAGAAGCTTCGTTTAGGATTTACCGCAATTTGAGGTAAGTACTATGTCAACCAAATTTCATGCTTTTCCCATATAAATATATTTGTGACTAGTTATTTGAGATCATTTGAGTATATGATAGCTAATGAGATTTTACGTATCAATTGTGATTGTGAATTATATATATTTGAGATTTGAGTATTTTATATTGGGTGATATTTTGAGCATTTGAATTTACATATGAATTGTTATTTGGTTGAGATTTGAGATTTGAGCTATTTATGAAGTATCCTATATTTTGGACTATTTATGGTATATTTGAGTATGATGAGTTGGAGTTAATAAATTTTATTATGAATAATTTTGTGGAATTCGGATTTCATATCCATTTTGATTGAGGTTATGATACTTGAACTTTGAGGTTGAATTACGATTTTGTGAGTACCCGGAGAAATGTGGATTTGGTGAGTGGTAATGACTATAAGTCTAATTCCACCAGGGATCTCCCAAAAGCGGAGTATCCCAGCTTAATTGTAGTAGTCGGTAGAAAAATCCCGACTACTCGGACTTTTTACTACCCGGAGAGCTTGGAATCTCTTTTAGGGGGTGTGCACACTTAAGGTAGGAGTTCGGCTTCCATTGAATTTGGTTGAGTTTGAATGATTGAACTTGAGATGATTTGGATTATTTGGTTGGACTTGATGGAGATGAATTGAACTACATTATATTGGATTATTTGAGTGGGTTATATTTGTTTGGATTGGATTGAATTTGATGTGGTTGAGATTATTAAATTATCGGTAGATTTTCAAAGTAATACTTTTTTTGATTTGATATGGTTATGTTGAATATTGATTATGAGTATTTGGAAGTATTTTGAGATGAATATTTGGGCTTTACATATGAATTATGTTTTGGAATATAATTACGAGGATTTTGGTGGTTTATGTATATTGACCTTTTAAAATTATTATGATTTGGAAATATGTACCTATATTTGGAATATTATTATTTTACATGTGATTTTGTGATGAGAAGTTTGTATAAAATGTTTCATGAGGTTTCCTCCCAAATGTTTTCACAAAATGATATATATGTATCAAACATGATTATTTTACAGGGTTGGGTGGGCCTTACTTAGCATTTCCAGCTAATTTTTGTTTCTTTGTGTTTTTCTTTCTGTACTTAATTTGTGCAGGAATTGAGGATCATATTGAAGTTGATTTCGAGAGCTTCCGCTAGAACACATAGACTAAAGTGATTGAGTAATTTATTTTAGTCTTAATTTTAAAGAATTGTAGTTGAACAATTAAATATGGAAAATTTTAATTTGTTGGTGGTGGATAGCCTGTGCACTCGGTTATGTGAGAACCGAGTGTGGCGGTAACGCCCCTATTTCCCTTTGAATTTTCCGCTGCATAATTCTGATAAATCATTATTTAAATGTATTTTTGGGTGGGAAATTTGGGGGGTGTTACACCTACAAAGGCAACAGAAAATTTCTCACCAACGAGTCATCCGACTACATAACCGAAGGCTTCGATACATGAAGCCTCGGAGTACAACAGTTTCCCCGAAAGCTCACGAAGAGGCCTTACCAACAGAACTCCACCAAAATTTGGCTAAGTCCAAATTTTGGCTGAGACTAAGCGGTAGATGATATGCCGAACGCTCCCCCTTTTCAAAAGCTTACTACACAATGAAGCTAGTCTATCTCACATTCGAAGGCATGCCCTCGGATCGGTGGAACAAGTTCTTAAGACCTACAACGGCAGGAGATTCATCAAACTCCTTCATCTGAGGGCTTCTACATTTGGGCTCCTACAACAATGCCTATTGAAAATTTGGGGTCCCACATTGCATCCGAGGGGTCCTAATTCTATGCTACAAACCAAGGGCCACGCGCGAGACCTAGGGAAGACTAATCTCAGAATCCACTAAGTCCATGATTTCGGATCCCCCGGCAGCTATACACCCCGGAGGCTCAAGCAATTCCCACATTAGAAGGACTCAATACAACACCTATTGAAACTTCGTGAAAAAATGACTGAGTCCACAAATGGGGACCCTCCGGGGGGCAATTCTTCAACTACACACTCGTGGCCGATGGCCACCTAAACTACTGGGCAATAACCTGAAGCTACACTACGGTCGGAGGCTCGCCACCACCGAGGGCCTAGTCACCGAGGACATATTCTAAGTTCTTACTTAGAAAATTTTCTAAGTCCACAGCTTCAAGCCCCCTGATGGTCCGGCCGAGGGCTCATGACTGGGTTTCCACTTAGAAAGATTTCTAAGTCCACAACAACAACCCCCGGTGACACTACACTACAACCGGGGGCTAGCAGGGAGTTACACTTAGAAAATTTACTAAGTCCACAAACTTGTGGCCTTCGGGAAGCCAGGCTAAAGAAGGAAAAAATACATTCATCCAAGTGAAGGAAAGCATTCATACACAAACAGAAAGAAACGAAGGCATACATTCATCAAAAGTCAAAGGAACATATCACGGAAGCCCGAAGGCATATCACATTCATTCAAAAAACAAAACAGAGTGTTAACAAAGGATGTTTGTTTACAATTAGCCGAGGCCTATGAGCTATTACAAGTCAGAAATTTCAAAGCAGCATCAAACTCGGGCCCTCTCAGCAGCGTCTTCCTTGGCCTTCGAAGTAGCATCATCCTCGATCTCCTCTTCATCATCAGCCAAGTTGTACTCCCTCATCAGCTCAGAATCCGCAAGTTGGACCCTCTCCTCACCCTCCGGAAGGGGGACTCTCACGTCAGGCTGCTGAGGGGGGAGGCCATATGCCGAAGGGTCGAACTTGTCCTTAGGGATTTCGAAGTGCTCCGCCAGCTTCCGGTAGATGAGACGCTGAGTGAAAAACTCGCCCCCATCAAAATAGTCTTTGCCCTTTAAGGCCATCCACTCAGATCCGGGGCCTTTCACCCAGGCATCAACACCTTGTTCTATGACCGAGGTCACCCACTCCTTGCGGTCCTCGGCCTTCCAGCCCTCGGAGACAAATGAAGCGACGATATCTTCTCTAGCTTTGGCCGCGGCCTCAGTTTTTGCCCTCTCAGCTTCCTCGGCTGCTTCCTTGGCGGCCTCGGCGGCGGCTTTCTCCGCTTCAGCCTTCCCCTCGGCGCGAGCCTCCACCTTGGCGGCCTCCAACTTGTTCCCCGCCTGCCTCAGGGCCTCCTCTAACTTAGCCATCTTCCTCATGGCCTCGGTGTTCTTTGCAACGAGCCTCTTGAGGGCCTCGTCGTCTTCCGCCTTCCGGAGGCGAATTTGCTCCATCCTCCGGACGTACTCTCCAAAGGCCAGGCTAGCCTGTGAACAAAAGATAAGGGGGGAGGCTCAAGGTCAAACTATGCGAACAAGAGATACGTAAAAGTAAAGCAAAGGCTTAGCAGGGGGAAGGGACTTACAGTGACCGAGGCCTCAAGTGCTCTTCGTTCGAGGGCGTCATCCTCAAACTTGCCGAGGGTCGAGCGGTCTAAGGGGGGAGTGGCGCCCTCCAGATATTCCCTTGGGTCGAGGGTTCCATGGACGATGGCAGTCCCCTTCTTAAAGGAGAACTGCACCGTCTCCTGCGGCCAAGCCCCCTCGTCGAGATCCACTAGATGAGAGGAGGAGGGCTCTTCAAGGATCACCAGGGGGGCACCCTTAACTTCATCGGCCCCCCTCAACTTCTTAGTTACCGGAGGCTTGGAGCCCTTCCCGGCATTCTTTCTCTTAAGCTCCCCAACTTGGGAACCCCCGGCACCAGCACCGGCATCAGCAGCAGGAACCTCCTTAGTGGACTCCTTATCTTCCGGAGTCTTAGAAGCCCCAGCCTTCTTCAAGACTTCATCGACGAGGGGTTGATTCGCCGAGGGCCCCTCCTCCTTCTTCTTCTTCGGGACCTTCGACAGCTTTTTTGATAGTCGCGCGAAGGCTTGCACATCCATAATATCACCTGCAAAAGACAAAGAAGGGTTAGAATCAGGGCTAATCAAGGAGAAATGTTCTAAGTACAAAAAAAACAGGAGCCCTCAGCTACAACCTCCGGCGTTTTGATACCCCCGGTCGATCTCAGGATATTTCTCATCTTCATCCCCCGGGAGGCGATACCGCCTAAAGCCCAGCAGGTAAAGATCCTCTGGGAGAGTCGCCGCCTTGATAGCGATCACCTTATCAGAGCCCTCGGGCTTCTCGGTGAGTTTCTTACCAGCCTTCTGCAGTGCCGCGCTGCCCACCTTCGGATGCCTACGGAAGTGATTGCGCAGGGCCCCCGGGAATGGGTTATCAGCCATCCGGATATAACAAAATTTTTCCTTCCACTCCTTGTGCGATGAGGGGGTCTCGGAGAATAGCTTCCAAGCCGGCACCTGTTGCAGATTAGCATATCCCCCGGCGTGGGAATGTCCACCGCGGAACAGATTAAAGGAGAGGAAAAATTGATCTTACGTAGCCTCCACCTTCCGGCTCTGGCAGAGAGATAAGAACCCCGCCAAGTAATAGTGGCTGTTTGGAGTTAGCTGGCAAGGGGCTAGCTTCACAAACCTCAGGTACTCCAAGACGAAAGGGTGGAGTGGGAACCTAAGACCCAACTCCACCGACAGCATGTGAACAGAGAAACACCCCTCCGGGAGGTGAGAGAGCAGATCTTCAGTCCCCGGCTCCACGACCTGCGTCGAGGGCCCCACTAGGACTTGGAGGGCTTGATAATCAGCACCCGAGGCCGTGGTTTTCACCTCGAGGGCAGTAGTGTCCAAATACGAGTGCCCCTCGGGGATCCCGACGGGGCGGCCAACATCGATGGCCGCTTGCTTCTTCTTGGGAGCAACCTTCAACTTCTTCTTCCTTTTTCCCCGGGCCACGCTCAGCGGATCAGGGTCCAATGGTCGGGAGGTGCTTGCCTCGCCAGCACCGCGCAAGGGTAGAACAGCAACCGTCACCCGAAGGCGTTCCTTCTCCTCTTCTTCTTCTGCTACCTGGAGAGCGAGGGCCATCTCCTCATCATCCGCCACCTGCTCGAAGTCTTCAGCTTCGACCTCAGTACGAAGGTTGCTCTGCACCTCCCTCGCCACCTCCGAATCATTGTTGGAGGAGGCTTGCCCGCTCGACGGCTCCACATCCGAATAGCTCTCGGATTGTGCCGGAGCCTCCTCCGAGATATTTTGGGAATCGCTCGCGGAGGACATAGTTGTGAATAAGAGGAGGGTTCCTAACCGAGGGTTCTAAAGTCCTCTAAACACTAAGACTGAAGACGGGGAAGCAAAATGTGCTAAGGGAACGAAGAACAGAAGGGGAACTGACCTTGAGGCGAAGGAAAAGCTTGGGTTTGATCGACGACAACACTTTCTCTCTCTAGAAAATTCAGCAGAGCTTCGCTAGAGTTTTTGAACGCACAAGAAGAAATGAACTCGGCTCTGGGGTATTTATAGGCAACTGGGCCTCGAGAACTGGGCCTCGATTCGAAAGCCCATCATTACGGGCCGCCGGTTCAGCCAATGGGTGGATACCGCCCACCTTCAGCCAACGGCAGCCGGCCACGTCGACCCCTCTTGCAACGGCTCTATTTCAACGGCTACATATCGGCAACACTGGCGTGCCCTCGGATGGTAGCCTCCGGCTACCGCTTCCGCAGCCTTTAGACAACGAATTCCACCAAAACGCCCTCGAGCCCGTAGCAGCATAAGCCTTCGGCTTATCAATGTTACCACCCCTCGGGGGCTCATCAACTCATCATAACGCCTTCAGCCCGAACTCGCCTTCGGCCTAAAGGAGTGGGGGACTGGGATACACCCCTCGGGGATCATACACAACAAAAATTTCTTCATACAACAAGTTACAATTGACGCGTGCAGCCTCCGGGCGAATACCGGAATAGAAACCTCAATATACCCGTCGGCAGAAAACAAACATCAAAATCTGACTCGTTACACTTGTAGTAGTGAAGCAGCCTTCACCGTAACACAAGCGGGCAATACATCTACGCTGTCCTCAGAAAACCCTCGACATGTGAGGGACTGAGGGGAGCCCTCGGCGAACATGCGAAGGTTATGAATACCTTCCCTCAGAAAACCCTCGACATGTGAGGGACTGAGGGGAGCCTTCGGCAATCAGCAGAAAACAAATTCTCAAGCAGAGGCGCCCAAAACAAACGATGAAGCCCCCAGAAGAATCAACACATCTACTCCTTTTCCCTCAAGTACCTTTCGGCAAAAGGAGTGAGGGACTCCTGATGGAGTATATGGCCCAGGAACCCCCGGCCCATAGACTCCTACTTCTCCTACACAAGTCCGTTAAGCCCAGGAAACAACTCAGGCCCAAATACAACGGCCCAAGCCTCAAAGTAGCTCAGGGTACACACTGGGATGCCTTCGGCCTCCTTGGCCGAAGGCTCTAGAACTCACAGGATAGCCTTTTTTGGCATAAGAAGCCGCTGGGAGAAAACGGGCGAAAACATGAG